AAAACTTAAAAACTTAAAAACTTAAAAACTTAAAAAATTGAAATCTTGAAAACTAGAAACCTTGAAACCTTGAAAACTTGAAAATTCGAAAACTTAAACACTTGAAGAATTGAAAAATTGAAAACTTGAAAATTAGAGACCTTAAAACCTTGAAAACTTCAAAACTTCCAAAATTGAAAAATTGTATAATTGGAAAATTGAAACCTTGAAACCTTGAAAACTTGAAAACTCGATAACTTGAAAAATTGAAAAACTGAAAGATCTACAGATTCTCACCATATTCTCCCCAATAATCCCCAGCGCCACTAGCCTTCACCAAAAGCAAAGTCCCACTGGACCTATACTTCGCAGCAGCTCTGATCTTCGGAATACTCAAAGCTAATTGTAATTGCACTTCATCGTCCGATATCCTGGTCCTCAAACCAGTCACCCGTAACGTGGATACTCCTTTCGCGGTTATATTTTTGAATTGTGCTCTGTATCCTTCGGGTCCACCGCCGACGGAGATGTGGAGCTCGTCAAGGATGATTGGCTCCACTTCAGGGTAGCCCAATTGAGGTAAACCTGCAAGAAATGAGACATAAGGCTAAATAAGACATTCTCTTTCTTTTATTTCTGCTGTAAGGTCGCTGCAATTTCTTGTTGCAGTTCAATGAACATGATTTTGCGGTTACTTTGTTCTTATTGATTCTTAATTGATTTAAGTGGACGGTTGGGTAGGTAGGTTTCTGATGAGGATTATTGTAGTTGCAAGTTTGGATATTTGGAAATTATTGAGGGGGGGAGACTTTTTAATTATTAGGTAGAATTCTGAAGGATCAATTTGTAGAGTTGTAAGTTGATAAGTTTTGAAATTTTTGTACTTGATAATTTTGGAGACTTCAAGGTTCTAAATTTTCAAATTTAGCAAATTTTCGTGGAATTCTAAATCCCCAAATTTCCATATTAATAAATCCCCGTTACCTAAATTCCCATCACCTAAATTCCCATCACCCAAAATTCCCATCATTCAAAATTT